CACGAGGTAATCCTGCAACTTTCACACAGTCTAGCAGGCATAGGGCAGCAAACTTCACACGCCCTCATTCCACAACCAACGCAAGGAACAAGAGGGAAACCAGGCTCAGGGATCCTGTTACACTTAGTGCACCTGTCCCGTCCATCATCTCCCCTCAAGGCTTCAGGGAGAAGACCACCATCTCCCTGCCTACCGGCACCATTCACACTATAGCCGAGGCTAAGACCCGGCCCAAGGTTACCACCGCTCGCAACACTTGAGGGGTAACCCGTGGCATTGCTAGACTGACTAACGCCAGCGCCAACCCCTTGGTGACTAACGCCACCTCCGTAGGCAGGACCATAGAAACTGGAACCACACTGATTGTTCCCAATTCCATGAGTATCCGCAGCACTACCGTGGAACCCAGGCGCTCCACCAGGGTAACCCCCGGTAGGAGCCCCTCCACTCGGGCCTCCAGAAGGCCCAGCGGAATCTTGGCCTCCACCATAATGCCCAGGACCTGGCGGTGGAGCTGGGGCATGTCCATGCCCACCACTTCCGCTCCCACCTTGACCAGGTGGTCCGCCTTGCCCACCACCTCCCCCGGGAGGAGGAGGAGGGGGCGGTCCAGCTTGAGCGCGTTCATGCCGAATATTGCAGCGTGCACATCGCTCAAGGCCGTCATTTCCGAAGTAACTGTGATTCTCACAAACGTGAGTCCCACAATCCGTACAGAGATACATGGAGACCTCCTGAGCATTCTTGCGGCATGCCCAGCATTTCATTTTCAAGAAGTGACAATTGCAACAGTCCCCGTCGTCACCACGGCAAAGCCCGCAGAACTCACGACTGCATGTCACACACGAGAATTCAGCATTCGGGTGCTTACGGTCGTTGGGATCATCGAGGGCACAAATCTTTGGCGCGTCTGGGCCATCACCGCCGGGAGCCCCTCTTGCAGCCGGCGCTGAGGCCTGTCCACGATCCGAAGGAGCTCCAGCAGTCCCTCGCCTATCGCCGGGACTCTGGGTGTCGGCGCTGGCTCTACTCCCAGGAGTCCTCCACTCATCACCAGGACTCTGGATGTCGGCATGGACCCTATTATCCCCACCACCTCCTGAATCACAACCTGGGTTCGGAGAGACGTTCCCGCTATCGCGGATTGGCCTATCAAAATTCGGAGAGACGCTCCCGCTATCGCGGATCGGCCTCTCCCCCCTCGGTTGTCGACTCCGGACCTCAGATCCCCTATCGGGGACGGCAGCAGGCCTCGGGCTCCTATTCCTACCCGCATCCCTATTGGGGGAAATAGAAACGTCCCCCCTTGCGCGCGCGCGGGGACCACCCCTTGCACGCTCCGGTGGCGAATGCGACCTGTCAGGCAACCCCCGAACCCTCCTGCTCCTGCTGTCGGACCTCTCCCTAACGGGATAGATGGGATGCCTGTCTGCGCGAGAAGGATCGACCCTATCGGGCACATTCGGCAAAACATGATCAGGCAAAACAACGCCTCCGCCTGGTCTCACCGGCAGGCCAGTACCCCGGCCGTCACCTTCCCCTGGTGTAGGCGTCGGTGACCTGATCCTATGTCCTTGCCCCGCAAATGCATGGTAACCAACATTCCGTCTTTCCCTGGGTTGTGGAGGAGCTTCATTAATCTGCTGGACACCCTGAATAATGCCAGCAGCCTCGTCAAATTGACCCTCCATCTCAAAGAGCTGGGACATGATTCTGTTGTTCGCGGCGCTAAGGTTACGCACGTTACCATCGATAGCGCTGACTCTCCGCATAACACCTTCAAGTGTACTCCGGAATGTGCCGAGCTCTCGCCTAACGGCAGGCTGCACTTGGTCACTGCTGGCAGGAAGATTACGGATCTGTCCTTGGATGCCATCAACGACCCGATTCACAACTGCCGATCTCGCTTCATACTGTTCAACATGTGACTTCACGGTTTCAAACCTCGAAATGATGTCGTCATGATCCCGACGTTGACGTTGAATTCCTCGAGCCAGATCCTGCATCTTCCGATTGATCTCGTCAACAGCCTCATGCCAGTCCTGCGGGGAATCATGCCCTGATGGTCTATCGACCTCCTGAGAACCCCTTCCACTCTGCAGTCTAGACACTCGATTAACAAGACGAGTGTGCTCTTCTTTGACCCCTTCAATAGATTCAGAGGCCCACTTGGCAAACGTCTCGTGATCAAGGAGAGCTTTCTCGATCTTCAGGTTTAACTCCCTGAACTTTGCATCGACTACACTGCCGCTGGCCCTATCGGACGGATGCGCGATAGGATTCGGGTTCCATACACCTGCCGGTGTCTGCATCCCAACGGTTTTCTCTACCGAGAACATCCGTTTCTCAAGCTTGTCCAAATCCTTAAGGATCTCGTCCTCAGAAGCAGCATGGCTCCTGCGGGCAGCCTCATTATTCTCCTGAATCATCAGGCGAAGCCGATCAGTTGATGCCTCATTGTCCCTGACAGATTCATGGACCTCGTGGGACAGTAGGTTAATCCTCTGCTCCACGACCTCGGCTTGCTCATCGATGGCTTGCCTCACAATGGCCTTGCTATCGGGAATAACTTCCCTTGCGAACCGTTGAACTATCATTCGCATCCTCCCGGCATCAGATTGAGTCGCAACCTCAGCTGCCAGGCGATCGACCTTGTCCTTCGTCCGTTGACTCTCGTCGCTCCATTCCCTTCGCATGGAACTCACCTGACCGTTCAGTACCCTGATTTGGTCAGCAAAGATGTGGAACGCCTTCGCGACTGAGCCAGAAACCTCACCTCTCTCGAGCATCTCTTGGATGTGCAAATCGAACACCTCCTTCGCCCTAGCGTCACCTGATTCGCCGGAAGACTGGGATCTAAGGGCGGGAGGAGTCGATATCTCGATCCTCTCAGGAGCCCCACTAGCCCCGGCATGTCTTCTGGGGTCATCCACGGGACAATCACCAACCCCAGATGGCCTGCTAGGAGTAGAACCCCTTCTACGGCTATCGCCGGAACGGGGATCAACATGGGACGCACGAGACTCGGGAGTAGAGTGGATGTGAACATCAGCAGGATCAGGCATCTCCTCATCCTGCGGAGTTGAGTCCATTGGTGAGGGGCTAGCCCTCCTCGCCTTCGACCTATCGGTCTCAATGGCCAGGGGTGACGGTCTCTTCGCAGAAGCACTACGTTCCCTGGCGGTCGAGCCCCATTGAGGTGTGAACTCGTTGCTGGACCTTAGCGTTTCAAGGTCACTGGTATCTCGCCCTAACGGGCTAGCGATCGACGGACGATCCTCGATTCCGAGTGCATCGGCAAGCCGGCCATCTCTTGCACCTCTCCCAACGACATCGGCAACCCGCTCAGTGACTCTCGGCGAACCAGTAACCCGGTTCGAGTTCACGTCTCTCTGATTTAACGGACCTCCAAACGTAATGTTGGGAAAAGGGGGAACATTCGGGGTATCACCAATCGCCGGGGGACCTACCGGTCCCTCACGGTCATGGATGGCCTCCAATCCCCGAAGAACTTCCCGACTGTCCCTGGCTCTCTCTCTCTCGCTTCGGGCATCCCTGTCAACGCGAAGGTCCCTGGCGGCTCCACGAGAGAGGCTCCTGGGCCTCGCAGCATCACGGATCCTAGCATTTCGTCGTGGTTGGTCCTCCTCCTCATCACGGCGATCCGCAAACGCGGCATACTCGTCATCATCATCGACCTCAAACTTGGCAGCGGCGGGACTATAGTCCTTGCAGTCGCACGGCTGCCTGCATCTCGGCGCGAATGGCTCTCCTCCTCATCCGCAAAATTGTAACCTTCGCCATCATAAGACTCAGATTTGGCAGTATTAGGGTTGGGCCTACCGGCATCAGATCCCTGCTTTGAGCTACTGCCCCAACCTGCGGTTGATTTCAACAGATCATCGTATCCGAAGTCTGAGAACTTCCGCTCCTCGTGCTCATCAAACTGACCTGGATTCTGAGAACCAGTGGATCGGCCCGGGATACCTCCCGGAGCCAGAACCATAGTCCCTGGTCCCTGCGGCCTATTCTCAAACTCATCCGAGACCTGCGACTCACCTGGAACAAGAGATCTCGGAGGTCGAATCGGCATGGCCTCCGGGTCATCCGAATGAGGGCGGGCCATGTCCATCGCCATGCTGATGAAGTCAAAACGTCCACGCCTGTGACCTGATTCAGAGCCACTCCTATCGGAGTAAACCCTTCGTGTCTGCTCGTCATCAGTGGCCTGGCGGAAAATACGATCGTCTCCATCGTCGGCGTACCTGCCACGGCCCCTGGGTGTATCCCTACCGGGATCTTCACCCCTGCGGTCCTGACCTGTCGAACCTGCTTCGAAATCCTCGTAGTCATAGTCCGGTAGGTCCTCACCTGAGCGGAGGCCACCTAGGATGGCCTCCTCATCCACGACGCTCCTTCGAGATCGTGGGGTCGACATAGAGCTTGTAGTTGATGGTCTCAAGCGCGTAGGAAAGTCCTACGGCTGATAACCTGTGATTCGGGCACGAGCCTGTGCCCAGGCAATGGGTAAGTTGGGGTAAACAAGCCACAAAAGAAAGGTTCCCCAAAAGCAAACCAATCCCCGGTCCCAAAGATCAGGGTTTCCCACACACCAGAGAACAACAACCAAAGGAAAACAAACCAAACAAGAAAAGGGTTAACCCGCAACCTTGGTCGACAACAGGCCGCACGACTGGTCCCTACCAACCTGGCGGCGGCCCGAGGTCTCTTTCTCCCCCGAGATGCCGTCGGTCGACGCAGGGGTTCGGCGACGCCCATTCGAGGCGCGACGGAACCCAAAACTTGAGCCAAACACCACAGGTCAGTCACTACCGCGACATCCCTGGTGATGAAATAAACCATGGCTAATCACACCAGGAAATGGGGAAGGAACCCCATTTCCAACGGGCCTGATTCCATCGAGCTCCTTTTCATTTTTTCCCACCGGAGGCTTTCCAAGAGCGCAAGGGTCCCTGAACTACAGCCGATTCCGAATCGGCCTGGCACCGGGGCCCTCGGCCAAGAAGGACATCCACTGGGCCACCGCCAGCTTCTGGTGCCGCAGCAACCAAATCACCTGAGGTGCTCCAAATCGGACTTCCCATCGATTCAAATCCACTCCTTATCAAGAAATCGCTCTCTTTTTGTTCGGGCCAATCTCAAACCCCCAAACAATCGCTTCCCCCATAGTGATTCAAATCCAGCCCTTATTTATCAAGAAATAGCTTTTTTCAGGCCAAAATCCCAAAAGTCACATCGCCCACGTTACTTCACCAATACCAAACTAACTGACAGCCGGTATTGGGGGGGTGGCCAAAATCCCAAAAGTCACATCGCCCACGTTACTTCACCAATACCAAACTAACTGACAGCCGGTATTGGGGGGTTACTTTCAGCACTTTGCTTCTTTCAGTTGTAAACTCAAATTATAAATTGGAGGTCTAATTTCGCGTCAAAATTCGATTGACAAGTGCCTTGAGCAGTTTCATGTCCATTCCCTTCTCGGCGGATTACGATTTTGACGGTTATTGCGCCTGGCAAAGAAGGGCCCCATTTGGACGAGGGCCGTAGTGGAAAATCCCTGGGACCTTATTAATAAATATGTTTCCGCAAAAACAAAAAGAGAGTATTGACAGCGGGGGGGAGTAATAGGGCAGGGCTTACGCGTCCTGCCCTCACATGGACTAGCTCTTCACCACCGATTCTGTTGTCAGATTGGCCGTGGCCCCTGAGACGCCTTCCCAAGCACGCAGCGCCGCCTCCTTTCGCTTGCGACGCGAGCGGTCAAAGCTTGCGCTTACTTACACTCCCTCGGTGGTGGCAAAGTTAGGGATTTTAGGGACCCACTCCAAAACAAAATGGTAGCTTTCCTTCTAATGTCCCTTTCAAAGTAGGCCAAAAAGAGCGGCGCCCTCAAAAATGGCAGACCCAGGTATGAAGCCATTAAGGGGTTACCCTGTTGACAACCACACCCATATTTTGACTGCAAACGTTGCAAACCTGCGCCCACCGACCTCGCTGCCTCGCTGCCGAGGGCCGAGGTGCCCGGGCGGCGACATAGCGTAATCGCCGCATCAAGGGCTCAAAGGCGATGGTGAGCATCAGCTTGGAGGCGACGTCCTGGGCGGAAAAAGTGGGCACACGGGTGCAAGGGGCGGGCGGTACATATGCATATCGATCCCTCTCTCACTTTGTATATATATATATATGGACACGTCGTCGTCGTCGTCCTTTAAGACATAAGTCGTCGTAGTCCATCATTACTTAATAATTGTCGTCGTTCATACTTAAGTCATTAATTAATCATTAATCATTAATTCCTTCATTGAAGTCGTCGTCGTCGTCGTCGTCGTCGACTTCTCTTAAGTCGTCGTCGTTCATTAGTTAATGGCCGTCGTCATTCGTCGTCGTCGTCCTTGGCGTCGTTTAATTAATGACGACGACGTCATTAATGAGTCAAGGAATTAATGACTTGACGACTTTTAAGGACGTCACTGGAAGTAATGACTAATTAAGGACGACGTCATGAAGTTAATTAAGGAGGAAGGGCCTGTCCATGGCCTTAATTGACGTCGTCGTCAATTGGTGAAGATTATTTAGAAGGTGAAGTATTAGATATAAAAGATTTTAATGAAAATAATATGGTATATTTATTCAAAAATAATGATAATATTTACGGTTTTTATATTAATAAAAAAAATATATGCCAAACAAGTCATAATATCACGTCCTTCGGTACAAACGCTGAATGTGTATCATGGGTCTATTGCAAATTCAATAGTTTCCAATGTGGGAGAGGGACGTTTAAAAGTGAAGGCATCAAACGGTATTTTTTCACAGTCCATATTGGTAATTCGATATCGATGTCATCCGGAATTCTGTCTCTGTCTACATCCAAAAAAGGCAGTGGAATAGAACTGATTGGTGGGGCTGTGAACACATTCCATGTAACTGTCATATTACAGTCTGTGGTTGAAACAAAATTTGAACTCTGAGCAGAATTCTGTTCGTCTGAGTTCTCCGAGTTCTCCGAGTTCTCCGCGTTCTTTAACAATGGAATATCTGACTCATCCAAAAGTTTCTTGAACACCACACCGACATCTATATCCTCAGCAAAAACTTCCATTGAAGTTTTTTATGTTTAATAATCGCACGTGCATCTTGAGCCAAAATGGCTACGGTAAAGATATTTTATTATCGAAACAAATATGAAGTTATTTTTTCAATCTATATATATATATTATACTCGAGTATCATGAACGATCACCAGAATATTGTCACATTAATATTTCTGTAGTGAGTCATAAGTCCGAACGGACGCTAGAACAAATATAATAATAAAAATATTTATTACAATTTATTTTTTAACAATATTAAATAATGTTGTTAAAAAATCGGAATTGACGTCCTTACTCCTATCGGGCAATATCCTATCGTCGTTACACTGATAGATCGCCTTTAAGAAGTGGTCGTGGCTCGTGTTGTGCTCGTATGTGATTATAAAAAATAATCACTTTGTGCATGCCCAACATGTTGGTCGCCCTGTCGCCATGCTCAGTGCTCTTGACAACTCCTCCATGCTCACCTCCACATCTCTCAGTGCTATTGTCATGTCTGCTATGCTCACCGTCACATCACTCGATACTCTTGACAAGTTCGCCGAGCTCACCTCCATATTTCTCAATGCTTTTGACAAGCCCGTCGTGCACACCTCCGGATCTCTCATTGCTCCTGACGTGCCCGTCGCGTTTACTCTGTATGCCACATTCGTTGTCCGGTCTGCCGGATCCGATATGTGCACGAGAGTATCAGGGTGTGGCATTAGGAATTTCGTCGCCCCGATCCAATTGCTGGGATCGTTGTAGCACGTGCATCTGTTGCTCACGTAGTATGCGGAGTTGTCGATTGAACGATAGTACAGCACATTGTTCATGGACTCGACCACATATTGATAACACCTCGTCCAGTCTTGCCAACCGGTGATGCTATCAATAGTCACAAGCCACCAAACAAATGCACGTACATGAGGCGCCACCATAGCAAGTACCCAGCGCGCTTCACACGAGGGCGTAGAGCACCCTGCGGGAATCCATCTACGCGCAGTGTAATAATCCTCCATGGTCTCGCGAGACAATAGAAAATCAGACTGCAGAAATTCACAGGTGTATCTTGAGCCAAAATGGCTACGGTAATAGTTTTTGTTTAATGGATAAAACATGTAGTAAAATTGTCATTTTTTTAGTAATATATAATTATAATATAATACATCACTTTTAAAAAAGATATAATATATTATTTTAATATTTTTGTTTTATGTTTTGATAAAACTAAAATAATTTATTGGAGTTCTTCAACGATGCAAACATCTGACTCATTTATAAGCTTCTAGAACACTTCATGAGTGTCTATCACTACAACAATTGTCTCTATAATGGTTTTTATTTTTAACTGGTGTACTTGTAGAACTTGTACCAAAATCGTCATAGTAAAAAAATATTATAATATACACATTGTTTATTAAAAATTTAACATTTTCATTATATTTATAATTGGATAAATAAATATAATTATTATTTCATTAATAAAATGTATTTGATAAAAGAAATATTTGAAGAAATACAAAAATGAACATTTACATAAACTTAATAAAATTCATATTTATGAAAAATCTATTTGTAATTATGTAAATTAAATAATATTTATAATGATATATGTAATAAAAATTTATCAAAATCATCAATTCGTAATATTATAAAGTAGAATCATAAAATTATATTTAGAATATTACCCATTTGCCACGGGGTTTTGCCTTGTTAGGCAACGTCATCTTCGGCAAGTACTGCTATATAACCTTCTCCGCGCAGGGCGGACAAAGAATAACGAGGTTTTCTCCGCGGTACTCTGGATTTTCCACGTATTGCAACGGGGTATTACCACAGTCCTCGCAAACGAAGTTCTCGTTGTGTTCAAAATACAACGTCATAGGCTCGCCAACTTCAGCCTCTTCATTTGCTTCTTGTGGCACATCGTCCCAGTCATTGGCAGCAATGACAACTTCGTACCCTCTGTTCAATGCACATGATGGGCACAGAGCAACGTTGCTGTTTCTGGGGCATTCCGGATCATCTGCACATAGCTTTGGAATGTCGTTGCAGTCCACGCAAAAGTGGCATTCATTGCGTTGGAAATACAATGTTGTCATGTCAAGGAACGGTTTTCTAACTTTCTCAGAAAGCTTCTTGAGCCAAAATGGCTACGGTAAAAGTTAAAAGAGAGCATCTGGTAAATCTTTTTTAACTAGTATGTATAGGTATGTATATGTGCGCAATATGTATGTATATATATATATATGTCTTCCTTTATATGTCTTTGGATATTTCGGACTGGCAACCTTGACAGATATTCTCCCTCGGCATGTCAGTAGATGTGTCCACGAACGGAATATGTCAATACCCTCAGAAGCAAAGGCCTGGCTCATTCAGCCCCGCGCACCTCCCAGCGCTGATGCCCATGGACACCAGTGCCTGGACTGAATGGCAGCTGAACCCATAGATGCATGGGACGCCGTATCTTTCCGGCGACTGTCCTGAAGCCCCACCTGGCCTCCCGCACAAATCGCGGCCAAGGAGATGTTCTTGATGGACTCCTCATCGGCCACAGAACTCAATGAAATGCATTGGCGCTTTGGTTGCTGAGCCAAAAGCAAAAAATGAAGCTTCCGCCTGTCCTGGCACACCGAGTGCACAAGAAACAAGTCCCGCATTCATGGCCCAGAAACAACAAACAATCCGCCTCTGCAAAAAGTGAGAAATTAACCAAAAAAACCAACAACAAAAGGAAGAAGTGCGTGTTTCAGTCTTCCGTTTGTTCCTTTTGTTCCTCTTGTTCCTCTTGTTCCTTTTGTTTGTTCATGGCCCAACAAACAAAACAAAGCTTTGAAGCAGACACCGCCGGCTCGCCTCAGGGGGGCGTGCCAAGCGCATGGCCACCTCGATCTCCGCCAGCAGGCGGCGCCAGGCGGCGCCCCCGTTGAGCGCCACGTCGGCGCCGGGGATCCTCAGAGCAGAGCCGAGCGCCGCGGTCGTTTTTCTCCGCGTCTACGGGTCTTTTCGTTGGCTTTGCTGGTGTCAGTTGTGTTGTGGTTGTATTTTTTAGTTGGTTCTGAACACTTTTTAGTGGTGTCGGTTGCTTTGTATTTTGGTTGCTTCTGTTTGCGTTTGTTTTTTTCACTCGGCTCAATCCCATACACTTCGATGTTTCTTGCGGAAGCTGGTGCGATCTTCAAAATGTCCCGGTGGCGGGGGCTTGAAAACGAGTGGCGAGAGTACATTTGACATCTACTCATGGGAGCTGGGGGGAAGGGAGATTGCGTGGGAGGGAGCCCAAATACGCGCTAAGGCCTTGGTAAGGGCTTAGTAAAGCATGTTTCATAATGCACTGGTGCTGCGGTATTGGCAGCGTTCAACATTGAGCCCGACCAGGGCTCACATCGGTACGCCAACCTGTGTCACCCCTGTTCCGCTAGTGACCAAGCATCGGGTCCATGAGCCACGGTCAACACCTGCTCTGCCACTTCGCTGAGACTTGTGTCCAGGACGAATCGCTCTCCGATTTCGCAAGTCTCATCCGATTCGCCCGAGGCGCTGGACCTCGTTGCGCAGGTAGGCGCTGTAGCCTTCCACGCCCCCGAAGCATTCAAAGGCCTCTGCCGCAGCCGAGGCGACATCCTGCGCAGCGGAAAGCTATGGCGTGCACAGTGAGCTTCCCACGGAAAGTCCTGTCGTCGGTTCACTCAAAGGAGTCAAAACGTCTCAGCAAGTGAGCCATGTTTGTTCAGAAACATCGAATCCAGGCACAATTGTCAACGCAAACGTGTTCCAAATGCGGTGACAATATGCACGGGGATGACAAAAAACATAGTGATGTTAGCTCATCTGTCTAATGTGGGAAACGTTGAGACAGAAACGCTACCAGTACCGCTCAAGCTAGAACACAACGCCGAGAAGCTCATGCCTGGACGAAGCAATCCAATGCATGTCAAAGCCGGCAAGAAAGCACACTGCAACTGCCCCGCAACGTTCTGTGACATCACTTGCAGAAAGCTGCGAAGGAATTGTGGAGATCCTGAACATTCCTCCTGAAATGAAAAGTGGATTCTCCTCTTATGGCTGTCAAGGGCCCCCCAAACCCAATGCCCCCCAATAGGGGCGAATAGGATTTTCCTCTGGGCGCCAAATGGTTCTCAACCCCCACGATAGGGACCGATTCCCCAAGTCCAAAAAGGCAGAGCTCCCGACGTCGATCGCGATCGCCGCAAGGCAAAGTCACGAGGCGAGGTCCTGGCCCAGGAGGAAGTCCCCGGCGCCTCCGTGGCCCTTCGCGGCCGAGGAGGCGAAGTCCAGCAGCTCCTGCGAAACACACGGCACGTAGCATATATATATATATGTGTACATATATATATATATATGTGCATATATACAGATATACATATACACATCGGTTTGTGTGTGTGTGCGTACATGTATACGTATGAGTAGATGTAGAAGTTTAGTCAAAAAGAATCGCTTGTGTATATGAATGCAACAAAGGTGTGCGGTGGTGTCTTTGTATATGTATATATAAAAATATATATGTATATCTATATATTAATGTGTACATATGCACATGTGTATGTAACGAGCATATCGGCATCTGCATGTGCAATCTACCTGCTTAAGACACCAAGCACACGGAGGCATGTACCACGACTGTAATCTGCTTGCGCTAGATTTGATTGTGATGAGCAACGATCGGTCTGTGAACATGTCTTCATAGTAGCTTGGCGGGTATGCCGAATGTTCATCCCTTTTCGTTATGGTGAATGTGAACCTGCTTCATATGTCGTGATGGCGGTGACGTTGTTCTGGCTCTATCTTGTGCTGCAGCTTTCACTTTGAGAGTTATTCTTCCGTGTGCGGAAGAATCGCACGCGAGCCACACCTTATGATGTCCTTTTGGGGCCCAGGTAGACAAGTGCCACACATGGCCAGCATAGAAGGATGCTCTGCATTGCCGCAGCTGACAAATCACATGGCACCGTCAGGAAAGGGAAGTGAGCAGCACTCTATTGCTACCATTTTTTGCATCCGGATGTGACTAGGATACCCTTCATTCATTCATTCGCGTCACACAGGCCCACCACTCCGAATTCACCAGGCGAGCCTGTCTGACGCGCTTGGTACTTGGACCCAAGAAAGGAGAGACAAAGAGTCCCGGCGCTCTCCTCCTCCAGCGTCAGCGCGCCGGCATTGCAACCAGGAGTGCCTGCTGAACTGGCCGCTGCGCAAGTTGTGGTCACATTGAAACTTGGCCATGGGTCAAAACCAATGGGATCCCATTTTGGGATAGGTGAATTCACCACCCATTTTAGAACCTATTTTAGTGGGGATTGGGATGTTCACTGGGGGTACGGGGTTTTGACCCATGGCCACTTGGGTAACGTGGGCAAGTTGACTTGCGAACTGCGCTCGCTTTGCGCCTGCGCCTTTAACCTGGTAGCCTCCCGACAGCGAGAAACGCCCTGGGCACCTTGGATGACTTCCTGCAAGGCCCGGCCGAAGGAGAAGCCAGCAGATCTTGCCTTGCTCAGCATTTCCAGAGCACTCTCCTGGGTTTCGTTTGCTCAACCCAGCGCAATCACACAGCAAAGTTAGCAACCCTGATTGTCAATCTGCGCATTCCAAATCGACAGGCTAGCGTCTGGATTGATGTGAACCGAATTGAGATGCGACCTGCGATAAAAACAAAAAGTTGTTCCGCTTGCTCTTTCCAAGATGCCTTGTGTGCCATCTCCCGCGCTTCTCGGCTAGACTTGGAGAGCCGCATTTCCAGGCGGTCCAAGCCTTCGCAGGAAATCATGCAAAAAGCATCGCAGATTCTTGCCTACTTGTTCTTGCAGTCTAAAATCAAAGAACGAGGTTGAAGCACTGTCACACATGCCATGCCCAACAGTGGCAGGGCCAGAGCAGGCTCGAGTCATGTCCACAGGCAAAAAACGGCTGGCTGGCACCAACCATAACGCGAAACGGAGAAGCAGTGTTGGTACATCGTGTCGACAAAACATCAATGGCAGGCTGCTAAATTTCGTGGGTTTGACGTTTCTGGCAGTTATGGGTGCTAACTTTTTGGAGGGTGTCGGTCGATGTGTGTCGGTTCGGCAGGGGATTTGGGAGCTGACATGTTGGCACCGCATGTGGCAGAGCTGTTTGGTTAGGTCTCAAGGCATCACAACATGGTTATATTTAGAAAAAACACGGCAAAAACCACATCACATCAACGTATCATATCATATCGAGGTCATTTTTAGGCCATATAAAGTAGCATATAGGGTCACAACTGGATGAATTTGACCAACCACAAGGATCTAGTTGCAAAAGCACAGCAAACGATTAAACATGTGTCAGAACATACTGGTCTGAATAGGCAGTGAGCTTCCCACATGGCCTTTCCGCCATGGAAGATGATGCCTTCAGGCGGGGTCTTGAGGGTGCTTGAGGGTGGGCTGTTCAAGGGATTGCCCAAAATCTCAGTTGTGAGTTGAACCACAGAACCACAATCGCATAATCATCACAAATATTCACACACACATGCATTTTGACATCAACACATTGTGCTATGGGACAATCCCAACCATAAATGGGTGCATCCGCTTGTTTAAATTTGCACAGGAAATGGGCATCGCGGCTGGACGACGTGAAGGTGGAGCTCGGGCGGCTGTTTTCGCTGGTGGTCAATGGCGGCAATGCAGCTCAGGCGGGGTGGCGAGCGGGAGCTCCAGGATTGAACTGGTTGAAAAAAACGGCCTGGAAGTACTGAAGGGAACTTTGTTTTATAAGGGGAGGGGAACATGTTGCGCTTTGTTGGAAGTGGTTGGGCCCTCCATATGTAAATTGTATGCCTACTTTTCAATGTTAAATGAACCATGTCCACGTCATTGTGATTGTCTGGCAAGGGTGGATTACTCAATGTGTTGTCTGGGTGTTCAGCGTTGACGTGGCTGTGCGTTGACGACATGCAACTTGGTGAGCCCGATTCCTGACAAAGTATCATCAAACCCTATTGCCATTTATCAGGTTCACAGTTTACAGTGGCTTGGGCTTGGACAGATTAAAGGGTAACGGTAACAATCACCGTGCCGTCACCGTCATCTAGCGGGTTTTGGATTTCTTGTTGTTCTGGATTCTGGGCTGGGCCTAGGCCGGTTTCATTCCGAGCGCCTGAACCGTTGATGGCGTTGATGACCCTTTAATGAGGGATCTTTCAAACAGGGCTGGAAACAAAGAACGCCATCACAAACTGGATTGGACAATAATGTTGGCGATTGTTTTGGCGGCGCTGGTCCCACTTGTTCAGCACATTCTCGGGCTGGCTGGTGTATTCATGATGGGACCACGTAGCATTTGTGCTTACCAGTTTTGCTTTGCACAGCCGGCCGGCCCCTCGCTGAGCGCAATGGCAGTGAACATGGACGTGGAGGGCATGACCATCATCGGAGGAGAAGGTTTGGGTTTACTAATAGCATGTTACAAAGACCATTTCGGGGTGATTGATACTCAATCCATCCACTAAGTACTGTGGGTGGGTGGGGGCAATGGCAAGGTCCAACTCGGTCCAACTAACATACAACAAGCGTCTCATCATGTTACACTTACACTGTTACATTACATTGTTACACTTTCCAATCTATGCTTTGAATCGTAGCCATCTTGGAGTCTTGGAACCCTGCAGATTTTGATGGCGACGTGTTCAGCCCCGGCGTGCTCAGCGCTACGACGGCGCCCGCAGACTCGGATGTGCACTCGCCCACGGAGCTCTGCGATGAAGACGATGAGGATGTGGAGGTGGTGGAGGTGGAGGTGGAGGAACCGGCCCAGCCGGTCAGGGGCAGTGCCAGTGGTTGCACTGGGCTTAGTTTTTGTTATTTTCTCATCAGTGGGAGTCGGGGAGTCCGGGAAGTTTCAGTTTTCCAAATAAGCTTCCATGGGCCATTCTCTCTTTGGTATAAGAAACAGCAGACCCACCTCAGGTTGCCCTACTTGCGGGGCCGCTTGGGACCGCAGCCGGCAGATTGCGCTGGAGATGGGGGCCAGTGGCTAGGCCATGTTGGTCAACAGTGTACTTATGCCTACTACTTACTTTGTTGTCTATGTTGGTGCCATCCCCACCCGTCTTTCAACCCAAACTTCAAAAGCACACTCACAGACTCACAGACACACACATCGGTACGGTACATCTTCATTTCGCCATCTTAGGATTGGCAAAGAAGCTGGTGAAGAAGGATGAGGGCAGGGGCAGGAACAGGAAGCCGGCTGAGCCTGCGATACTTGGCAATCATAAGGTTCCTGGACCGACCCCCCCATCCCCAACTCCAGATGTTTTAGTGAAACCCATCCGACGTGTTTTTCTCAGCGCATTTGGGAAACGTAGTAGTAGTTTCAGTTGCGATGGTCAATCAGCAGTAGACATGATTTGGGTATCCTTGTTTTTTGATTCATTTTTTGATTAAGACTCAGTGGGCTCAGTAGCCAAGGAAGGCGCTGGAGGCTCGCCGCTCCTTTTTGGCGATGATCCTTGCGCGGCGGTGGGGCTTGACGCCCCGCTATGTGCGTGCTCGGCTTCAGCACTTCGCGGGCCTCCTTGAGAAGGGCGAGCTTGTCAACCTCGTGAAGCAGTGCAAAGTGGGGCCATAAAGCCACAGGGCCAGGCCGGGCTGCTAGCTTTTTCCCAGGCGAAAAGCCTTTTCTCCGGATGTCACTGCATGAAAGTGGCTTAGGTCGAGCTTAGAGGTGATGCAACGGGTTTGGATTTCAGGCAGGTTCCTTCAGGTAGAGACAGAAGATCTAAAGCAGTACAATGAACCAGATGTGTTGAGAGGTGTGTGCAAACCAAGAAACCAAAGACCACAGCTGGCTGTCAAAAACTGCCTGAAAACTCCGGACAGCCCGGTTTGCCAAGTTAGCGGTCTGTGGCAAGCGGCTGCAGTAATTGTCGGGAGCCTGGCACTGGGCGCCTGGCGCATTCAGAAGTTTGGCTTGGCCTGCACAGGCCTTTTCTCCAGATGCCACAATAAAGTGGCTTAGTGCTTAGGTCAGAGGGCCCTTCGGGGAGCCGGGTTGGATTTCAGGCAGTTTAAGTTTCAGAATAACCCGATGAACCGGATGTGTTGAGAGGTGTGTGCAAACCAAGAAACCATTGGGGACCACCCGGTTTGCCAAGTTAGTGGTGTCGGGAGCCTGAGCCTGCCTGGCGCATTCGATAGGCTTAGCCTGCACATCACGTGCACTCGATAGGCCTTTTCTCCAGATGCCACTGAAGCAGGTGGCTTAGAGCGAGAGCCCCTAGGGGTACCGCAACCGGTTTGGATTTCAGG